ATAAATAAATTTGATTCAATGGAAACTACTCATCTTTTTATATATTCAATAAAAAACATATGCTGAAGTTTCTGTCGACATTCTTTTTACCCTTCAACATTTTTATCATTCCTTTTTTCAATATTATTCTTTTCGATATTTCTACTTTCGACCAAAGTTGAGACTACTTATTTTATCAACTCACTTTAATAATATACTATAGAAACAACATCGAATAAGCATTTAGCTTTCTAGTTTACCATACAAGCTAGAAAACGATTCTTCTATTTATAGCATGTATTTCGTGCAGCCATAAAAAATATCAAAGCGATTATACCGTAGAAGTAGATTAAGTATACTATTAATTCACATAATCATGTCTGACAATCATTGAATTAATATGCAACTATGATATTGAATTTATAGTCCTGTGAAAATTGGTGCTCAACAATAGATACCAAATATCAGGAAACTTTTAGAAATACATACTAAACAGCGGTATTGTTGTGAAATTGAATTCTTACGTCATCATTATAGTGATTGATCGATAGCTATGACTATTAGAGTCAGAAAAATGAAGGATGACCTATGTTGGCCTATCGGTCGGTCCCACATGATCTGATTGTTCAGACAAATGTCGGTCCCGGCCGGGGAAAAACCTCTGTCAGTTCCAACTCTGTAGGTCGGCATCAGGGAATTTTTTTGCCCCTACGAGATTGGCCGTTTTTCTATCGAATTGAAGTAGGACATGAGCTCTGAATCAATTCCACAATGTGATTGACGTTAAACTGGCAAAAAATTTTTGCGGACCTGTAGTTTCGTAAGAGATCTCTTTGAGACTTTTATCTTCGATCTCAATAGTACCTATATGCATTAATATAGTAAAGTACAGCGATTATGAATATCATCATAATCAGTGCTCAAGGTATTTCAATAACCAAAAAAAAATGTTCGTTCTCTAGCTTTCCATTTCGGACTATACCCCACACTGTTTACCTCTGTACTTTCTCCATTTGCTGTTCTCATCTCATGAGAAAAGATAAAGAATAGCTGAAACTCTAATCTACTGGAATATGAACTATAAAATCTTTTCGAAAGAGTGATCAGATATAAAAGTAAGAAGTGCCAGTTAGGAATCTGTCTTTTTCCGTATCTCACAAACAAACGGTGTTTTCCGATTTTCTGGTAAACAAGCTGAAGCAATATGAAATTTTTAGTGAAGATGTAATTTCTAGTGTTCTGTTTGATAACTAATCGAAAAAGCGATAAAAATTCGTTCATTAAAGTTTCTAGACTGTCTAGAAAATCTGTGTAAAATCTTTAGAATTTCAAGAAAGATTATCTTCACTATCGTGTTCGGCATGGAAAATAACCCACTTTCAAAATTAAGGAAGTTTCAGAAAAATTCGAACAACTATTCTTTTCACCTACTTATGTGTTTTTTCAGTAATTGCATAATTTGTAACGGTTGCTACAGGACGATATGTCAGATACGGCTTATGAGAAAAATTTCGTTCGTTGAAAGTCCATGGACAGAGATAATTTAGGATTGTAAATACTATAGTGAAGTTAAACTGTCTTAAAATCCTGAAGATCTTAAAAAGAATTTCTAGCAAGCCTGAAAATCTCGATACACGAATTTTCTTCACTTCTTGAATTAACTATCAAATAGAGCACCAAAAATTATGTTTTGATGTGGGTGACTAGGAAGCAAGAATAGATCTATACTCACACCCCATCCGCAATCAAAATAAGTGTATATATAAGTGAGTACTTTTTAATGATACACAGTGCTCATTAATAAAGCAATTGTTTAAAATGATTTTATTTTTATTTGTTAGAGAACCTTCAGTTGTATATGCAGTCTAATTTTGGTAATTGTTTATGCCAATATAGATGAAATATAACTCATAATATAACAGAAAGGTCAGTATTTGTTGAAAATGATTCTTTTCCTAAAGTATTGATTTTTTTTTTCACTAAGACTAAAAATACTCAAGGTCTGGTTTAGTGTTCTCATATCCTCATCTCAGCTCCAAGAAAAAAATAGTTAAACGAAAAGTATCTAGTTGGAATCTCCCCATGGAAGAAGCGTCACTTTCTTTCTCTTTCTTTAATCAGTGTTTGTTATATCTGTAGATTGACAATGAATGACCGAGTCACTTTGATGATCATACAACGTATTAAGAAGTCAATAATAATAATTCATATGAAAATTCATAATTTTACTTCGTTCATGTGGACGTAATGAGTTTTTTATACATAAAAGAAAAAATAATTACTGATTAACCAAAATTTATCGTAGAAAAACTCATGACATGTATTAACTCAATTCCACAAAAATTTTTGTATGAGGGTCGGCACTGGAAAATCTGCAGGTATTCAAAGTAACAACGGTCTTGCTAAATAGCTATCACTATTAGCTTCAAAAGTTTTTAAAAAAAAATGAGTATTTAATCATTTGAAAAGAACACAACCTTTCAATCAGTTACGAAAAGCAATATGTCTCGAAAATAACGTCGGTACTATATAATTTAGTTATTTCAAAGTACATAATCTAGTAAAAATCATAAAATTTAAGTGAATTATGTTTATTTTATACTATTACTTCAACGTTTTTTGGGCAATAACAAACTAAAAAATTTAGCTTTCTTCAATAAAAGAATTATTTTCAACACGAGTATCACTGATATTAACCAACTCTCAAGAATAACTTGAAATAAAATAAAATTTTACATTTTCTTTGAACAATTGATTCTCAGTGACGACCAGAAAAATCTTCTATCGATAATATCAAATCATCTTACTGAACGATAAATCTACTTGTTTTTTCAGAACATATTCTATACCATAGATAATGAATTTAGTATACACAAATATCTACTGTATTCGTATTGTTCAATTTTATAACCATGGATACTACAAGAAAATTTGTTTTCAAAAAGAAAACTGGTCAGACTACTCATTGACACTTTTTAGGCATCCATAGTATGTAAACGAATATAAATCCATATCTACTCAACCCAAGAAAAAAATATTGATATCAAAGTTATATACTTATTCTAACATAACTAATTAGATCAGTCAATTAAAATGATATTGAAATATAAGACTCTCTTTATATTTATTTATATATATGTATGAATTAAAAAAAAAGAAGGTATGAAATAAAATACAAGGTATGAGCACACATTTTGCTGAGTAAGACGAGAGACACTGTTTCAAAATGCATATCAAAATGGTAAAGAATGCAAATAAAAAGAACTCTTTATAAAAAAAAAAAAGAACAGAACAAAGAATAAGAGAGAATATATAAATTTCTCAAATACTGTATTCTCTCGATGTTGAACTCGCAGTCGATGAGGATGATGTAGATGAATGATTAGGATAAATCATAGTGGGAGGAGGAAGAGGAGGAGGTGGTGGTGGTGGTGGTGGTGGTGCATCAATTGAATCATACGTTAAATACGTTGATTGTAGATCTGTTATTGGTCTTCTCGTTAAAGCGTGTACAGTCTTTTTTAAATTATAATGATTCGATGAAGATGATGATGTTGCAGGTGAATGAAATGTTTTTAAATGATTTGGTTGTTGTTGTTGTTGTTGTTGTTGTTGAATATTATCATCAACATTACTAATCGATTGATGAATACCTACAAGAACCACCGTTGATGATTTATTATTTGATGATGATTGATGTCGTTGTGTTGGTACAGCATAATCAACACTTGTTGAACTTAAACTTGATGAACGATGTTGTGCTGTTAGAAGAGGACGTGCAACACCATGTGCACTTGAACTTGATCGTGATAAATCATTACTTCCATAACAACTATCTTCTGAACTTCCACCACCAGCTGAACGTTTTATTTCATCATATGCTTCAATATGATGATGTCCAGTCAATTTCTAAATCGAGAAAAAAAGATTATGAAACTATACATTAACTATGCCCAGTTGTACATGTGCCATTTCAAGTTAATTAGTTTCGATATGTCTGAGATGCACATTTGCACTTTTACACATCAACATTCTTCACAATTCATTTTCCCGGATGTCTAGCAAGGGACATAGGCTAATGGAAAGTAATTGCATAATCAAAAAACTAAAAGGATCATGAACAAGTGAATTTTTTCATTTTTATTTTCCATATAGATGATTATTTATTTCAAATGTTAAATAGTATAGTCTAACCTTTTGATAGAATTTATCTCAATATATACGGATTAAAATGACAATCCTCACACATAGTTAGATTAAAATACACAAAAGATGACCTTTAGAACAAATTAAATAACATGATATGACATAACTTACATTAGTAGTAGTTGTTGTTGTAAGAAGTTTATCAGCATCAGTTGATTGAAGTAATTCACATGGTTTTTGTAATGATGATCGATTTAAATGTTTACAACGTTTTTGTTTACAAAAAAAAGCTATTAAAATTCCCATTGTTATACTAAATACTAATGTTAAAATAGTTGATATAATAACAACAATAATTATTTCACGTGTTAAAATTGTTTCATATTCAAATGAATATTCTTTTTGTTGAATTTTATTTAATAAGTGTTGAGAATTTAACGATGTTGTATAATATAATTTATTAATATATTCTCCAACTTTAATATTAACCATTATTGTTGAACATTTTGGATTTAATTCATTTTGATCACATACTTTTATTGTTAAACGATGATGTCCTTGTGGTAAATTATTTGATTGTGCATATATTGTACCATTGAAAAAATTTATATGAAAATATTCATTTAGATTACCATCAATAATCGTATATGTTAAATTTCCATTCATATTAGAATCACGATCATGTGCAATAATTGTTGTAATTAGAATCATTTTTGATTGACTTGTTTCTAATAATTCACTTGGAATATAAACAGCTGATAATGGTTCAATAACTGGTGTATTATCATTGACATCAATTAATTCAATTGTTATTATTACACGATCTGAATGAAGATAATCATTATCTTTTGCAGTGATATATAAACGATGTATTGAATGATTTTCATAATCAAGGAAAGCTTTTATACGTAATTCACCATTTAATAAATTTATTTCAAATACATCTTGATCATCAATACATGTTAATTCATAATGAATTGTTGTATTTATATCAAGATCTGATGCTTTTATGTGACCAATTAATGTACCAATAGGTATATTTTCTAATATACGAAATGAATAAGAATCTTGTTGAAATTTTGGTTTATTATCATTCATATCATTTATATAAACAATAAATGAATGTAAAGTTTCAAGATGTTTTGAATTTTTACCATGATCACTTATATTTAATATTAAATCATATTTTGTTTGATATTCATAATCGAATGATATATTTTTTCCAACAGAAAGAATTCCAGTTATTGAATCAAGTTGAAAAAATCGAGAATTATTTGATGGTATAAGAGAATAAGTTAAAAAACTATTTGATGTATTTGGTGCATCAAAATCTTGAGCATGAAATTGAATAAGTTTAATATTAGGTAGATTATTTTCATTGATACTTATTGGAGTCGGATATGGATCAAGTATTGGTGGTGAATCATTTATATCAAGAAGAACAATTGTTATATCTTTTTGTGTAATTAATGATGGTCCAATACCTATACATAAATAAAATTTAATTAAAATAGAAAAACTGTTAGTGTAATCCCTGCGGAATCAAAATGTGAAATATGATGTAAATGTTGTTACAAATCATACGAAGACGGAGAATATTGCTAAAATGTCTATGATAGTCAATCAATCCTCTTGGATTGGTTCCGAATCCGATTCTGAAATTTTTCTGTTAATCAGATTTCAAAAACATTCCATAAATTGGGTTCGATATTCAAAAATTTTGCATTCAATGAACTCTAATCTCGTCTGTTACTCTATATACTTCAACACTTCTTTTTAGATCGTGTTTCATAAAAGACAAACCTTGATCACGTGCTTCAAATGTTAAACGATATTGTTCTTGTTGTTCTCTATCAAGTCTTCCAATAATTGATAAACTATATAAATCATTATATTGTTCATTTAATTGAAATAGATTTGTATATGTTAATAATTTTAATTGTATTTTATCATTAATTGAATCTTTATCACTAACACTTAAATGAAATAAACGTGTATTTATTGGTTGTTCTTCATCAATATAATAAATATGTTTACGTGGATCAATTTTATTTGAATCAATATCTGGTAAAATAAAATCAATATC